GTCGGATAACCGAAAAGTATGAAAAAATCCATTATTAGTGTAGTATATTATTATATCCCATGTAATTAGTATATTAGTATATTGCTATTAACCTACTTTGCGTTGAATTTTCATCGATGTTAAGCCTAACAAAAATTTTTTTAAAATAATAATCATCGCTATTGTATCGTTAAAAATTAGAAAATTAAGCCTCGTTTAAATACTGGCTCCCTTTCATGGTCGAATGAGTGTTGCCAGCTAAAACACGTAAAAATAATATTAAAGTATAAGACATAGTCAAATATTGTAGCGCCACATCACTAGCGGACATTTGATATTTGCCGACTAGGACGGTTGGTTAACCGAGGTGGTGGTTAATTGGGGGTCAGATAATCGAGGCTCTACTGTAATGGGGGAGAAGGAAAATGGTGGCTTTCAAGGTCGAGTTAATGGCTTTTCTTGTGTGCAGTCTGTAAGTAGGTTCGAGAGTTGGTGAGCTTCTGTGCATGGGAGATTTATGACCTTTTTTGTAATATCTGTGCCTTCTCTGGCCTTTAGGCTTTTTTGCCTTTGTTGGACTCCCAGATCAAAGCTTTTATTTCTCCTTTTTTTACCTGCATTGGGCTTCATTATGCTTTCCAGTGTGGAGGTCACTCAGACCTCAGGGTGACGTTGCTCCCACAGTGACACTGCTCACCATCACCATCTGTTGCAGCGGGCAGTGTCAATGCCAAACACCTGTGGCATTGTACCTGCGCCTAACCCCGGACTGTGCTCACTGCCTATCTCCTCCGCAGAGTAGATCCCTCGATCTCTGTTTCCGAGATCTACGCAGCCTCATGGAGATGCTTCTTCCTGTCGTCAAAATCTGAAAATTTATGAGAAAAGACAGAGAAACTGTCACCCCAAGTACCACAGTCTACTTCTCGGTGGCTACAGCCACCCCGCTTGAACACATCTCTATGTACTTTCAAAGATACCACTGCGAGCACTTCATACCCACTGCCCATGGATATGCACTTGCTGCCTCATTTTTGGCCATGTCCCTTCATCCTGTCATGGCCATCATTGGTGCCTAAAGTGTGGAGAGGACCACAATCACGACAGTTGCTCCTCTGCCAGCTCTGGGTGTGCACGCTGCAAAGGTGCCCATTGGGCTGACTAACCCACATGTCTGGACTATATCAAGGAGGCCAAGTTGCTTAAAATCAGAACAATACGAAGATGTTTGTATACTGAGGTGAAGAGCACATCACTCTCCCTGCCCAACACATATGCTCAGGCAGTGGCAGCCCCTCGCCCACCGCCTCAACTGACAACCCCTCATTGCTGGATGGAGGTGGCTCCAGCCTCAAATGGGTTGACAGTGGCTTTCTCAGTCCTTGCCACCCGGGTTTCACTACTCGAATCTATGGTGGAGAACCTCCATGTTGAGATTTGCCACTCCCTGTCTTTCCGCTCTCTCTCACCGGCTTCAAGCACGAGATGGACTGAGATCCCAGCAGACTCAGACACTGTTTTAACTGCACCCTCAATGTCCAAATGCCCACGTCATCTGGCAGGCCCCTCCGCCTCCCCTCCGATTTCAAAAAATAAAAAGGGGACACACCTTGCCCCATGGCTATGCCAATTGCCTCCGACACTGATGGGCTGCCATCGGACAAGGACCATGTACTGGAACCAGTTCCTAGTACTTCCTATGCTCTCTCTCATGGACGACCTGGACCTGTCTACCCCAGCTGAACTCATAAAACTGCAATGGCACCCCTCGAATGTACCATCCCCTCATGTCTAACTACCAGGGAGGTACTCATGCCCAATGAATAGTATAATGGAACACTAGAGAGGTTCAGTCCAAATGGACCTCATCCTGACCACAGGCTGGTTCCACACTGCTGACATAATCCACATCCAAGAGTCCTGGTTGTCATTGGGAGCTGCTTTTTTCACTTCCCGGATTTACAGTCTTCTGCATGGACCGTCCTTCAGCCCAAGGTGGGGCTGCCTGATAGCAGTCGCTACAAAATGGCCAGCTCAACACATAGCGCTCTACTCCACGGATCCCAAACTGGAGGTCCAGGAGATGCTTATCCATGCATTGGGGACGTCCCTCTCCCTGATAAACACCTAAGCCCTGACTGGGGGTTTGCAGGCATCTATCTTGGACTCCCTCATCTCATTGTCCAGACTCCTGACATCCTACTCGCTCCTATCCAACAGGCAGAGACCCTAGTGGATTTCTTCGGCTGACCTTGCCCAATTGGGGCATCTGCCCCTTGTTCACAGTACATGTGGCAGGACGACCAGCCATTTACCATTTGAGATCTCCATCAAACCCAGACAGCATCAGCATCCAGGCGCTGAGAGCTTTCCCACTGGAGGGACATTGCCTCCTACTAACTCAGCTGAACGGGATCTGGTCAATGGGAAACTTCCCTTCAGATTGGACGATGGCCATCATCATCCTGATAGCCACACCAGGTCACTCAGTGATGGCGTGCTCGTCCTGGTGACTGATCTCATTGACGTCGCACATTGCCAAAATATTCAAGCATCTCATTCTCCAATAGCTTCACTCTTTCATCTTCAGCAAAGCCTGTTCAACCACCATCACTTTGGTTTCCTCTCATATAGGGGAATAGAAGACATGTTGTGGCAATCCACCATTATATCACCATCGAAAGGGCTAGGTGCCACTGGACATACCTGATTGCCCTTGACCTTGAAAGAACCTACAACTTTGTATGCCAAGCAGGGCTTCTCACCAAACTATCACGTATGGGCATAGGAAGAAGGATGCTGTGCTGGCTGACCTCTTTTCTCCAACATCACACCTTCAGTGTCCACTGGCGGGGAGCGTCATTGTCTCCCCACCCTTTTCCCCAGGGAGTTTCACAGGGAAGTGTTTTCACCCCTTTCTTATTCACCTGTTATATGGCAAACCTCTGGGAGACTCTTCAGTCTGATGTCACAGCATTCTTATATGCGGATGATCTCTTCATCATTTCGTCCAGTACCAGGCTAACCCAGCAGCAAGTCGGGCTCAGAGAGCACTGGATCACCTCGAACGCTGGGCGGCCTCTTGGAGCCTCTCCTTCTCAGCCACCAAGAGCGCAATGGTAAACTTCTCACCTACACACCACCATCCTCCTGTCACTTTGTCTCCCCACTTGGGGCTAATTTCCTAGTGCATCACTCTTAGGATCTTGGTAGTGCATTTTTTCGCACATGGACAGCCCACGAGGCCTTCTTGCAAGTGAAATTAACCAGGGCAAGCTCTCTTTTCTTAAATTTTTTGCCTGTTGTCACAATGGCACTCGCACAGCTGACCTCCTCCACCTGGTCTATACGGTCCTCGGCCTAATGGCAGAATTTCAGACAGTAGGTCAGCTTTACAAGTGGTGTCTAGCATCACATTCTCTTCACCCGCGGTCATCATAGACTTGGCAGCTTCCATTTGTTCATATACGGCACCCATTGTTGTTGGGTGGACACTGGGACACGCTGGTGTTTTGATTAACAAGGCAGCCAACAAAGCCTCTCGCCAAGACATGATAACTGGCTCCACATGGAAGATGCTCATGCTGAAAGACCTCTCCCAACATATGAGGAACAGGACCATTCAGGCTTTGATTGACACCTGGACTCCTGACCTGCATAATAAGGGACAAGACAATCTCCATCCTTTTGCCAATTGGATTTACCATCACACTTCATCCTGACACACAGAAACACTTCTGGCCCGCTTAAGGACAGAGACGGCCCCACTAAATCACTTCCTCTACAGAGATTCTCCAGCCTGCCCCCACTGTGGGGTATCGGAGACAAAATTCCACTACTGGCTATACTGCCTGCAGTATGACAAGGCTTGCCAAGACTTGGGCACTACATTGACACCTAACCTCTCAATCGTTCATTTGCTCACGTCGATCTTTTGGCCTCAAACCGATACCCCACATCAACATGTGGTGGCATTGGAACATTACATCAATTGCACCTGCCACTTCAATTAAACACCAGGTGGCGCCAATCGGAGAAGAGAGCCAACTAGGCTAAAGTCTCCATATCAACCAACCAAGAACAAGAACAATGGGGGCAATTAATATGCTAATTAATAAAACGTTATAAAAATCTTTTGTGGCAAAAATAATTCATAAAACTTGCATAGGTCATAAATAATGATGTATATGTACTAGCCCATACATTTTTGGAAAAGTTATGGCTTAAGGACTGCTATGTAAACTGTTATAGCTTTTTTGTAATGCTATGTAAACTGCCCGAGTTAACTGGGGGCGAAGAACTTAAGGGTTAATTAATAAGTATCCATAATCTACTACTTGGGGGTTTAGCCTAAATCTTCTCTTCCCCTTCGTATAGGTAACAGAGTAATCGAGCGGTAAGGGCAATATACTTAAGCTAAATGTCCAAGAAAAATCTGTAGTGGAGCCCTGGACTTTAGGATCCGAGTGATTTGTATATATTACAGGATAATGACCGATAAATTCTATAAATTCTTTCGATAATCGCCATCAAATATTTCTCGCTATCAATTTCCATTTGCGCACCCGATTAAGGATCTATAATTGAAGTTATTCGAAACATTCTAATACATTCTGTTACTGTGTTCATTTAAATGAAATGCAACTTTTTTTTTAATTCCAATAATGCCCACAGATTAAATTATATTCATTGAAAAACAAAAAATGTAACTTCAAACTAAGGTTATTTTAAAATTTAGCGTTGGAAAAAAGTCGAAGAATCCGGAAGAAGGTGAGACCAGAATATCCAGACTATTCTTGCATCTTTCAACCTGTCGACGCTCCCTGCACCACGGGTTCAAGCGAAAGCGAAGAGAGTTGCGATACGAAATCAAAAGAAAATATTTCTGTTACAGTGAGTATTGTAATTTCAAAATATTACAATAAGTATAAAATATTATTTATTTATATACAAGAGAGAGAAATTTCTAACCTCTTGGTCCATAGCCATGCATTTATGAATTCTGTTGTCACGAGCAGAGCCGTAACTAGGATTTTGGATGCCTATGGCCAAGAATGGCGACTTTTTAATTTTTATTATTAAAAAAAATAATTTTATTCTAAAAAACTGCTATTGTAAAAAAATTATGTAATGACATTTAATTACTATATAAATATAAATATAAAAAAGTTTTTTGTTATTAATTTCCAATACATATTATTTCGAAACCTTCTCGTTGGCGCCTTTATTAAATCGGCTCCTATGGCTCGGGCTACATTGGCCATACCCTAGTTACGGCTCTGGTCACGAGAGATCTAATTTCGTATCTGATCTAGCAGTCTTCTGTGGATAGTTCTGGATTTCTCTTCCTGTGCTGGTGGACTCCGTAGCTATTGTAGGAAAGTTGAGGTTGGCTAATTTCTATGTATTGATGCTTTGCATAAATTCAAACCTCCATTAAGTGCAAATCCGGGTTATTCAAAAAGAATAGTGCAAAAAGCCGATTTATTCGAACCTGAAATAACAACGGGTGGTTGGCATTGGCTGTTCTGTATCTGCCTCCAATCCATCACCCAAAACAATGCGTCTACGAATCAGTGGGATTAATATCAGAGGTATACTGGGATGCATTTGTAGAGAACTGAAAAACTGCTGTGTCACCAACGGCATCCCCACATCGAACGTATAGTGTGTATGTGAGACTTTGTGAGTTCTTCTGTCTTCATGTCGTTGCTATTGCCATATGTTATTTCAGTTACGAATAAATTAGCTTTACTTTTGCACCATTCTTTTTGACATTGGTTTGTGTACTGTGATCAATACTTTTTATCTTTTATTTTTTTAAGAATACTTTGTGGTAAAATGATATCGCGAAAGATACGAAAACACTCAGACAACCATTCAGTTTCCTCAAATAATTCAAACATTTTAAGACTACTAAATTTAATTGATTAGAGATCTAATGACAATTGTTCTGAGCAAATTTCAAAAAAGTGTCTAACACATACAAACATTCTTCACATTTATTATTATTTGCATACTCTTAAATTAAAAAATTTACATTGTTATTGCACAGACATCATGCTGTGCAATAACATAAATTGCATAGAATGTTAAATAAATTTCAGTTTGTAGTAAATGTACTCTAAATTTTAATGCTTTGAGCATATCTATAGTACTACAGAATGATTGTTTCGTTACAATTGTACTTATCCACTTGAAGCATTTGCTACAGAATCTAATCCCGGTGTGTAACAACAGATACCGGATGCCAGTAACTGTTATGTAACATAAAGCTATTTTGATTATCTTATACACAATATTCACAATTTTGTATGGCGAAAAATCTTCGATTTCTGTGATGTCTCATATTAAATACTGTATGTGGTGACCGCGACAGATGTTTTTGTTAATGAAAATCAACTTAGAAATTTTACATTTATTAACTTTATTTGACGTCACATGTTAATTTTCCCGAGATAACATTTTTAGTCTTACATTGTCCTCAAGACTAAAAAGACTACCTCCGATGCATTTTAAAATGCTACAATGGTATTTTGTTAGAAAGAAAACGTATCTTCGTCAGCTTGGACAGATGCAGACATACAGAATTTGACGAAAGCGATGAACAAATATCCTGGCGGAACTACTTTAAGATGGGAAAAGATTGCTCAGATGCTCAGTAGGAGCGTCGAAGACGTAAGTAGATGACTAGAAACTTTTTAAAGCGAATTTAGGAAATTGCGATTACGTTTTTACCCATTTTTTTCAGGTGACCACCTTTGCTAAACGGTTGAAAACGTCGACGATCGTCACGCACGCGCACCATTCTCTTCAAGGTAGTTACGAGACGATTTCCTCTTCGTGTAGTCGTTGCAATTTCTTAAATAATGTACTGATTTTCAGGCGTGACCGGTTTAGAAGAAGCGACGCTACCTCAGTCGTTCGGAAATATAACGTTCGACGGTAAACAAGAGGAAGAAAAACCGCCGAAACGGAAAAATGCCAAGGAATCTACGAATGCCACGAAGCAGAGTTGCGATAAAGAAATAGATAACTGGACTCAGCAACAACAGAAATCTCTAGAACTAGCCCTTCAGCAATTTCCGAAAGGCACGGAAGAAAGATGGGAGAAAATAGCAGAAAACGTGATCGGTAAATCAAAGGTAACTTGCAAACCTTCGAACGTCTTGGATCGTTTACCATTGCTCCTAGTTTTAATTCTTGCATCCGTTACAGGAAGAATGCATGCTGCGGTACAAACATTTAGTCGAATTAGTAAAGAGAAAGAAAAGTTCGACGACTTCGTGATTTTTTGCGAAAATTAGAATTTTAAAATTATTTTTCTAGAGAAAAATGAAAGAAAATAAAATAAATTATGGAGAATTCGTCTTATTTAATTAGGATTTTTATATTAGAGGAAAAAGTGGTATTATGGAACACTGCGGGTATTATGGAACCACCCCATTTCGAACTGATGATAAAAGCGGATTGTGGCTGAACTGAACTAGGCAGACATCCATAGCGAGGGGAAAACCCGTTTTACTTCAGTTAAACGGTTGTCCGTATTTAAATTAATCAGCAAATTTGTTTTTTCAAAATTCGCAAGTTTGAATGCTAAGTGAATTTAATTATTTTTAAAATATAAATCGTGTAGTTGTAGGTTCGCTGGTGCTTGTATTCCGTTCCAGAGACTTAGGGGTACATATTAATCTGTGTGATGTTCACGTTTTTTAAATTTTGGTCTTGACAGACATAAGTTAATTCAAGATGGCGATGCGTGAAATACGGACCCCATTGGTGCTTTTACAGTAATATGGAACTCAACTCCTCCGAACTCTCTCTTTGCAAGCAGACATTCGTCTGGAGCAATTTGTGAAAATGACACTAGGTAGAAAGTCAATTCTTCCTGAGAATATCGAAGAGCTGCTGAAATATATATTGTTGATGGAGGTCATATTTTTCTATTATAAAAGCATTTTTGCGATAAAATACATTGGAGTAAATAATTTTGTAATTATTTAACATTTTTTGTACTTTCCTATTTGTTTTTGGCTACATTAAAGCATTTTTTTGAAAGCACACAGTAAAGTTCCATATTACCACCCGATTTTCTCTAAGCCTACTTTCTGACTTTGTACAGAAGCCTTCAAAAACCATATTTATAGTTATACTAGCGAAAAATCCAATTTGGAACATTTAGTTTAATAGTTACCAGTACTTTTCGCACGAAAAATGTGGGTGTAGTTATGATACCTTGTCTACAATTCACTAAAATGTAATTGGGGTTCCATAATATCGCCTTCTCCTCTATTATTATTTTTTATTTATCCATTCGATAGATGCTTTGTTCATAAATACTCTTTTTGTTTTTATACATACGAAAAAATTACTTTTTACTCCTTTTCTTTTTACCATTTTAATATACTGTACATACCCGAATGAATCTGTTGCTTAACGAATTTGAATAACCATTGTAAAATAAATGCTAACTTTTTTGGAATGCAGTCTCTTGTAATTTGTTACTGATGCGCTATACTACGTACTACATTCGAAATGTCTTAACCTTATTAAATTTGATCATCCTCCGATCTTAAACTTATGCGGAATGACTATGTAACGATCCTAATTTCTCTCGTTACGCACAGGGATAGTTGGCACGAGGGTCAAATTCGAGATTCCACGTTACAATATCGACTCTATCAATAAATTTTCGTGGTTCTCGACATCCCTTTCGGCAAAAATATGTTGTGACCACAGGTTAATAGGATCATAAATAATATTTTTAATGAAATATTTGGCTGGACATCAGATAGTCTTAAGAACAAGTTGCACTCCAGGGGCGCCCTTCATTGTCGGGTTTTCCTTTTTTTAATTCCCAAGGGAGCTCTTAAGGTTTTGTTTTATTTTTAAATTAGCTACGCATTTTTATCACCAAAAACGTTTTTATTGATGACAAAATTAAAATAACAATATTTCTTATTAACCGAAAATTTGTTTCTAGCGGGTGGTGATTGTTCGGTCGAGTACCGAAGTACTGTACTGTACCTCTGTTTGATATAGGCGGTAGCATCGAGGGATTAATATTAGTTTAATTAATACAGTTATTAGTACTTACTTTTAAAGGATTACATGTTCTTTTTAAAATATTTTGAAATAATTCACAAAAAATAAATAATTATAAATTTAAAAAGTGGTTTTTTTAATCAAATTGCTGGAAAGGGAATATAGCTTTATTCATAATGTCTGGTCAATTTAATAAATTAATCAATATTTATCAGACTGCGTGCCCATTTTAGTCATTATTCATAATGGCCGGGCATTATGAATAATGCCCTATTAATCACTTTGTCCATAAGATGTATAAAAATCAGAATGTTTAATTGTTTGTTTGTTCGCTATACACGCCTAGGCCGTTCGACCTCTTAGTACTGGGCAGTTACTTTTATATACCCATAACTTAGATAATGTCCTACATTCCATCCCAAAATATCCATTGGATTTCTGTAAATCTATTAATTTCTATGTACTGTACAGTGATACCTCGGTTTTCGTCGATAATCCGCCCTAAAACAATCGGCGAAATCCGAAACCGACGAAAACCGAGGCAATTATTTCCGAGGATATGAATCAATGTAAATCCAATTAATTCGTTCTAGATACTTCAAAATACATACCAAAAATATTTTATAGAGAATAAATATAGTGTTTAATACTAAAAACAATAAGAAATTAATATACAATGAATATAAAAGCGGCCGATTTCAACAAACTTAAATGTTCTCGTATTTTTCAATGATTTCTTTCTGATGGGCGAGCGGTCAAGGTGGCAACCTACCCTTCAAAAGGCAACCTGCCTTTTGAACCCACGATTGCTTAATGGTGTCTAGCAGTGGCGTGCCGTCGTTGGAAGCGTTAGATGCGTCGCTTCCCTTGTATTTTCTAAAAAAAATAAATACATATTAATTTTAATTATATGAAAATAATCGCACAATATTTTATTATAACCGCATTATATATATTATTACAAATTTCTATACGACACGTGAAAAAAAATAAGATTCCTATTGTATATTCGAANAAATATACTGTTTATTCAATTTATATTTTCTTGATTATAATAAGTTTTATAATACAATTGATATATACAGTATACTGTATATTTATAATTTCAATATCTTAATACACTCTTTTTGTAAAATATATTTTTGAATTTTTCCACTTTCTGTTTTTGGATATTCTTCAAAGAATAATACATATCTTGGTATTTTAAAATAACTAATCTGAAAAATAGAAAAATATATTTAATACATTTTAGTCTTTTAATAAAATAATTCAAATATTTAATTAATTTAATGAATAAATGAGTTTCTCTCTTAGCGAAAACTAGAAGGAGGATTTAGAAGATGATAGCAGGGAGATTTAATCGAGTCCCTTCATGTACAGTACAAGGTGAATCGGGGGACTCTGAACCGCTCTGGGGGACTCTGTATCGAATCCGGACGGGTCAAGAAATCCCCAGGAATTTTTCGGGAGGTGGTCCGTTCGGATATGTCAGGCCCCGTCCCTCACCACCCGGTCGCCCCATTGTGGGCCTGGCCGAACCCATAATGGGCTTGGTATAAGAGGCCCTGTTTGTGTCCACAGGGCGGAAAGAGTAAAAAAAAAAAGATTTCCTTCAACTCGATCGTGTTCCTGGCCTTCTTCTTTGAAGGGCTGCTGGCTCTGGAAACTTTCTTGGACTGGAACTTTCGTTGACTGGAAAGTCAACGAAAAACGAGGTATTACTGTACCGGTACATACGTGCGACTAAATATCCAGATGACACAACGCGCTGATTGATCAGCTTTATGACGTCAATCTACTGAAATCGGAAATGATGATGGATTAGCCTAAACTTTGTATTGTTGTTGTGAGAGCGGGCAGACGTTATAGTTATAGATATTTCATCTAAACTTTGATAAAAGGCGCTTATTTATAATTTCCTAGCTCTTGTGTGTATTGACCAGAGGCGGCTAACAGTTTTTGCCCCCGGGCGGAATTGGAAAGAAAACTTTTTTCACGGGCCGAACCAGAGGCTGCCCTAGGAAGATTGACGTTGAATTTAAATCATCTCTGGTCAACTCACGCGTGTTTGTGTCAATTTGCTTAGGACTATTTTCGTTAGCTTCTTTTGAACTAGGACGGATGGCTGTTTCCTTTATCTCGGCCAAACCCCAAAATGACACAATATCGCCCGGAGGGGAAGCTAAGTGTTGCGTTTCTAACCGAAATTGTGACATCATACAATTCGATGATGTCTCTACCAAAAATTCCGTTGTCCAGCTCGGTGATTTCGAGTTTTACCAAATAACAATCATGATAAAAGACTAATCGTCCGATTCTAAATTTTAACCTAAACTTCCCAATCGTCTCTATAATGTGACCGGTAACGCTAACTAATTCTACCGTTCTCGTTTCGGCTCGCGGTAATTGTTCTATGTTAGGGAATAGGTTTCGTGATATTAGGGTAACGGCTGCGCCCGTATCTATTGTCAACCGTACCTCTTTATCCTCGATTTTGCAAATCATCGTGCAGGGAGGCAATTTTCTACCTTTCGATTCGTTTATTCCCGCTAATGGGGTTTGAATTGGGCCTTCCGGTGGCCGATCTACATAGCAATTTCGTTCTCGAAATTGTACTGATGTGACTCTATCTAAATCTCGCAATTGTTTATTTTCTGATGAGCTATGTTCTGGCGCGGGTAAAGCTAAAAATCTGGAAGGGGTCGCGTTGGGTGGCGTTCGTTTGGCCTCGAAGCCACTACCTGTACTACACTGACCATAACGCGGTGGATAAAAGGGAAAGGGCGCAAAATGTCCGCTACTTTCGGGTTCGAATTGGAATCGCGCCTGATAAAAGGGCATTTGTCCTGACTGATGGGTTTGAAAGAGGTTCCGTACATTTTGTGTGGGGACTACCCATTCGGAAGCGTTGCGCTTCGCTCCCCACCTTCCCTTATATGGTGGAGGGACATTTCCTCCGTACCATTCGGGTGGTAATGGGGCGTACTCCCACAGATTCAAATTCGGCGAAAAATTTTGTAAATATCGTTCTTCATTCCCTCTCCACGGGAAAATTGGGCCTTGTTCCAAATATTGATTGTAAGAGGGGTAACGCGCGCGGGGTTGTCGTCGCGGGAAGGCCAGCGATGACCGCGGGGAAAACTGTTGCGGTGTACGACGCTGCGGGCTTGGGGGATAGCGCGGATTTCGCATCCCATTGTTCGCCCTTTCAGCTTCTTGGGTTCGATTGGTTCGCGAGGGTTCTCATCGGGAGACATTTGTTTGCTGAGGCGCAGGCTGTTGATCTAATCTTTTCCCTAATGTGACTAATTGCTTCGAAAGTTGCACGATTTTAGTGTCGAGAGCCGATTCTCTCCGT